CTCAGTATTTTATTTTGGAGTAGTTTCACAAACTCTTTTTCTTTCTCTTACTCTTTTACTTTCTTGAGATATTTAGAATTAATATTCTAGTCCATAGGGCAAAAAGGGTCTAATAACCAACTTATTTCTATTTTTGTGAACTAAGTGTTATGTAAGCATATTATGTAAACTCCGTGCTTGTTGCTTAGGTATATGTAAAATAAACACATTATTTGTATGTATGTCAATATTTAGTTTTTCATACACATAGGGATGTAGGTATGTTCAGTGAACTAATTCTATTTTCCACTGAGACTCTTTGTGAGTTAATAATCTGGTAAATTTACCTAGGTTAGAAGGTTGTCACTAAATGTATTAATTTACAATGTGTAGTGGCTTCAGCATAAATCCCAAGATCTGGTATAGTATCATTATTGTGTGGGATTTTTTAAGAATAGAAGAAATCTAACATTACTGAATATTTAAGTCCTTTAGTAAAAATGTCATGAAGTAATAACTTAAACCAGCAGTTGCCAACCGGTGGACTGCAGCCCACTGGTGGGGCACAAGAAAATGTTGGTGGGCCACAGAGAAATCTCACCCCCAGAGCACCCCCACAAAGCAATTAATCCAGACTGCGCAGAAACACAAGGCTGCGCCACCCACATGGCCCGTGGGGAACGCTCCCCGCCCACTCACTCCTTACCCGGCAAACTTGCCTGCTAAATTGCTATTTTTCCTTTTTCCGGCCACCAGCTGTTCTGCTGTGCCGGGAGATTTAGATTAGCTAGGAAGCAGGAAATGGTTGGATTTCTTGCTTTCTAGCTAGTCTTTAGGTTTTTGCTGAACCTCCCTTAGGACTGAAGATTCTATTATTCAGTGCACACTCATGGCAAGCAAATTTTATGTGACAGACTGAGCTAACCAATGGCAGATAGATAGATCACTGAATGATTCTGTGATTCTGTGAACAACTCAATCTGCCTACCTGCTTTCCCTGATTTGGGGTAAAAGTTGCTCTATTTCATAAAAAATTCAATATTTATATAAATATTTATAATATTTACATACAAGCCACGCCCAGCCAGTCACATGACTACCAAGCCACACCCACAAATTAGGCCATGCCCACAGAACTGGTTAGTGGTCCCTGGGATCTAAAATTATGAGTTTGGTGGTCCCTGAGGTCCAAAAGTTTGGTGACCTTTGACTTAAACCATTAATCAACAGAAATACGATCACGTGTCATTGCAATTTACAGTGCTAATTTACAAATTGTATCCTATAAAATAACTAAATACTTTTTGTATAGCTTGTATAATTTATGTTAGTTGGGTTTACAACATGCTCTTGGGAAATTCTAGTAGTCTGGAGGCTGTTTAGGTGCTCAGATATGGGATATATTATTTTAGCCACCCTAGTCGTTAACCTGATTTCTCTGTCCAAGAACTCGCCCAATGGGTTCAGCTGATATTCCCACAATTCTCAGTTAGTATGGGCTGATAGGGATATATAAGAGTTACAGCCGGAAGTATCTGCTGCAAATCCCTAGCATAATTACCAGAATTTAAAAGATTCATATGAAACCATACAAGATCTGTTAAAATGTTTTAGAGAATGAATGAAACCCAACAATTGTTTTGCTCTTAAAAGTAGCTGCATTACTCTTGAGGGCTGTATCCCCCCAGTATACTTCAAAAGACTATGTCAGTCACATAGTGGACTAATTAGAAAATATTACTGTAAGGTATCATCAGTGTATGCTTTAAGCATGAATTGTGTGGAGTATACATTCTCTATATAATTATACTGGTCAGATGTGAAACATCATTTAACTTTGTATTATTTCAGTTTGCTTAAAGGAAACAAAACCAATAAACGTAAGGCGAATAAACATACTGGAGCACCTGATACTGATGACACTTATTGAGCAGCATAAAAATGCATTAAATAAATAAGAGAGCTTACTTATTTTCAATCCACATGTCTGTGCTTAAAAAAAAGCTGTGTTCACCATCTGTCATGAACATCAGTTCAAAAGTTTATTGGGGTGTGTACTTCTGCATAGCACTGCTCAATATGCTTTAGCAATGTGATGATATATAATGACATGGAAATTTACAAACTCTTTTGATGGGGATCATAATTCTCTAGTGTGTCTAGCAGTATACTGACAGCATATTTTCAGAGTCAACCAATGCACATCTTTTAAAGTCAACCATGTTCAATTGTAAAATACAGAATTAGTATGAAGCTTAGCTTACCATCAGAAAAGGATTTACATATCAAGCAAAACTATATTTTGTTAATTTGGGTTTGTTGAAGAGGTAACTTATGCGCCATTGTACAATAAAACAAACATATCATGGCTTAATGCCACAATGGATTTAATATATTTAATACGGTTCTTATTGCCATTTCAAAAATGTGGAAAGAAGTCATTTGGACCTTATATAAACAAACTTAGTGCCTTTCTGCTACTCATTAAAGTAAACCCACTTTCAGGCTTTTACACTATCTTGAAAAAATGTAGACTCTTGGAAGAGTTGAGTCATTAAAACCAATGCAACTTTTAAGTACTTGAATATCTCCCCCTCCTGCATGCAGAAGCCAGGGGTGGGGGAACACCAGCCACTTCAAAGAATAGCAGATGTTGGAAGAAAATAGCCTTCTGGGTTCAGTTCCAAATGGAGAAAAAGACACTGGAAACATGGAGGCTGTTTGGAAATATGGTTTAATGGTGGACAGGATCACATGCCTTAGAGCTCCTGAGCAAAAAAGAGAGGAGATGCTGAGAGTCCCTTGGTTTTATAATCTGTTGGGCTTTGAATTTGAGCTTGTGTTTTGATTGGTTGTCAAGACTCCCATGGGGCCATTCTATGGGGGCATTTGGTAAGTTTTCTTTTGAGTCCTAGGCTTGGTTGACTCTTGCTGGGTGATGATGTAATGAAAGGGCTTTGGGATTCCTATTATGGGTCTGTCTGAAGGAGGTAGATCTTTGTTATGTAGAATAGACTGGCCCAGGCCTTAATGGCCCATTAGCAAAGGTAGGGGGGCTGAGTTTCTGCCTCTCTGAGTTTCTACTTCTCTTTTAGGGGAAATATTCTGCCTTTTTAATATATACTAAAATATTTCATTTCTCTGGGAGAGGGGTGGGTTTTAACTTCCAACACAGAAATGTGTTATGCTTACTTCTCAATCATTTTTGAAACATGCACAGCTATAAAATGAAGTCATTAAGGCTGGATGTCTTCAATTCAATTCCTAAAGCAGTCACAAATCCTCAGATTTGCATCTATAGCCAAAAAAGGGCACACTGGATTTATAGCAGTGTTGGAATATTTTGAAAGTCTAAAAATATTTATTTCAACTCATTTTTGAAGCAATATCCATCCAATAAGTAAGTTGTTAGTGAAGAAAATTGTAGCTAAGCAAATATGACACCAAATTACATTAGATGGTCTTGTTTCAGCATTGCTATTCTGTTATTTTAGGGTTTTGACTTAATAACAGGATCAAATAATTTCCTTTAACAGTCTGCAGATCAATAATAAAGGCAGCCATGTATACTGTATGTTTCTATGTTTAATATACAGATATTTCATAGTAGAGGAAGAAATATAAATTGTTTCTATTCCATTAAATAAAACAATTTGGAAGATTTGTTAGAAGTGATGGCAATGACTTCCCATGTTAAGGTCACTGCCCAGAACAGGACTCCAAATGTACAATATTTGTCTCAGTAACTTTTATGTTTTATTTTTCAACATCATACAATTATTATTTAATACAATACACACACACAAAATTAAAGAATTGGAATGACTAGTAGAATCTTCTATACAACTAAAGTATATATGGTATGAGTTACACTTTTCTTTGTACAATTTTATTCCTGGGATTGTTCTATATTTTCTATTATATTAGCAAATTACCTTGGTAGAACTCAATCATGGTAGTGTGCCACTCTCATTTGCTTAACAAACATATCCAGCTGTGTTTGCACAATATATTTATTTCTGATGGACTTAACTAACAAATGTTTAGGGTCATATGATATACAGAATGGTTTCACATAACATGCTATGTAAAATAATGGATGGCTAGTTTATGGGTTACACAGCATAGTAGCCACCTTAATTTTTTAACAATAGGGCCAGCTCTGGGAAAACCCTTTTACCATTCATTTGCATAAGTGAACACAATGTTTTCTTATGAAAGCGGTTTGAGCTGATACCACTTTATGCATAACTTATCCATGTAATATATCATAGATCAATGTAATGTATCAATGTATCAATTCATCATGGATAAATTTCCATAGTTAAGAAGATTCATAATCTTGAGCTGGAAAAAGTGCTTTTCATGAAGAAATTTGTAACTTTAACTTTACTCTGAGTAAGTGCAACTGATTTCACTAGTAGTTGCTGAATGTAAATGTTCAAGGGTGACTGAGCCCTGTCACTGGAAGACAGGTGTCATACAATTTAGTAATAATTTGCTTCCATTTGCATAATTTACTTCCATGGAGTCATGTTTCACTGAAAAAAGTCTTACTTTAATATAAACGCGCACATAACTTTACTATTCTTAAATTCGGGTTTCTCGAGCAGGGACTGTTTTATTTAACGGGTTATTCAGCGAATCAATTAAATATCTAAAATCCCAGCGAACTGGATGGGTTCAAAAATACCTAACGATTGTTTCTCACGGCATACTTCTTTTATGAAGTTTCTTCTATGAAGTTCCTACAGAAGAGGCGGCGATTCTTAGTAGAACTCAAGGAATAACTTTCAGAGTATTTACTATACAACCGGATTGGAGATTGTATTTCAGGAATCACGAACTTTAGGCTCCGCTTTACGGTGAGCCTGGAGTACCAGACCGGTGGCAATTGGGAACTTACGAACCGTACTAACTACTCGTCCTCCTCCAGAGAGGACTGTACTCCCAGGCAATACCGTAAGGTAAAGAAACGGTGCAAAAGTGTAACTTCCCCGATTCCCTGTGATTTTGCGACACTTAAGATGGCTGCCTCCATGAGATTCGCGTGCCGCTTCGGCACCGGGAAGCCTACTTAGAACAGAGTTTCCACCCCACCCACCTACTTTAAGGAGTTTATAAAGCGGGAGTAGTGCTAATTCTCCTCCGTGGTAGGACGAAGAAGATTCCAAGAAGGAGCGGGGCAGAAGCGTAAGGCGCGCATAAATACGAGCGGAGAGAAGCAAAACTACCGGTAGTAAGAGGCTAGAAGACTTGGAATCGGACTTGGAGTAGGACTTGATACCGATGATCAAGCCTGTAGTGGGTCCTGCTTGTTTCTTGTACAGATACATTTCGGGGACGGACAAGTGGCAGCAAGAGCCGCGTGGAAGTGATGATGCGCCCCGCGTTGCTGTCACCTTGTGTTAAAAGTTGCTCCTGGGTACTTGTTCGGTTCTGGGCTGAAGGATGTGGAAAGCCCAGGCAGCGGCGATGCCTCTTCTCCAGTTCTCCCTCGCTTTCTTCGGCTTCCTATTGGAGCAAAGTGGTTTCGGAGGCCGAGAAAATTGTGGGCTACCCGACCTCTTTCATGAGCCTCCGGTGCCTCTTGAGCGACGAGCTGAGCAACATCGCCATGCAGATGCGCAAATTGGTGGGAACCAACCACCCATTGCTTAACACGGCCAGGTGAGTGTTCAACTGGTCTTTGTTGGCCGGTACATTTCTAGTAAGCCTTTGAAGTCTTGCCAGGAGTTTTTTATTACATCCAAATGCTCATATTCCCCTCCCCCGACTTGTATTTCTTTGACCGAATATATGATATCTCCTTGTTTAGAATCTGAGTATTGGTCTACCTGTGCTGACTGAGTAAACACTGGCTGTCTGACGTCCTTTCAAATTAGAGTTGCTTGGAATTAACTCTAGAGCAGATGCTACTGGTATGTTGCTTCTGCATGTTTTAGAGCAAAGAGCATTAAGTTAAGCTAAGTTCTTGAGAAGATTACAGTCTGGTGTAAGAAGTTCATAGGGAATTAGTTTCATCAAGATTTTCCTGCTGGAGATTTATACTTTTGTGGCCTCTCTTTGAAAAAAATATCAAGAAAATTGTTCACTTGTGATGTGGAGAGTTGGTTCCATGTGTCTTTTTTTTTAACCATTGGAACTGCATTATGATCATACTGTTAGTTTGCATGCAGCATGTTATTTACACTGACCCATCTTTTCTACCTTTCTGTTTATTCCTTTATGAAATGAAATAGATGAGATCATGCTTTCTTTTACTTACAATGGATTTCTAATTATGCTGAGATAAATAGTTTGGAGCAACTACAGGTAGTCCTCAACTTAGGCCCACAACCGAGCTAAAATTTTCTCTTGCTAAGTGAGACAGCTGTTAAATTGCCCTATTTTATAACCTTTTTAGTTAGAGTTAAGTTAGTCACATGGTGGTTAAGTGAACAAATTCCCCATTGACTTTGCTTGTCAGAAAGTCACACAAAGTGATCACATGATCTTGGGATACTGCACTCATCTTAAATATGAACAAGTTGCCAAGTGTCCAAATTTTGATTACATGGCCATAGGGATGCTGCAAGTGTCATGTGATAAATGGTCATAAGTCACTTTTTTCAGTGCTGCTGTAATTTGGTCACTAAATGAATGGTTGTAACTCAAGGACTACCTGAATTTTCCAAAAATAGGTATATGATGTTAGTGTTATTGCGTTATAAAGGAATTTATCAAAAGTACCTTTAATATAAAGAATCAGTAAAAAATATAGGAACTAAGCATAGTGATTTCAAAAGACAGAGAAAAATACTATTTATTACCTAGCTGACACAGGTAAAATCATTTTATGAGGCTTTAAAAAAAGTATTAGTGTGCCAGATATATTTTGACTTTTTTATAGGCTTCAGTGGCACTTCTATACACTTGGATTAACTTCTCAGGAAGAACCATGAAACATAATATCAAGAGTATTTTGCTTCAATGAATTGAATGTCTTGGTATTAAATTTGGATGTGTCTTAGTACATTCTAAGGAATTTGATTTAAAGATATACCACTGAAAATTAAAACTTTGGTGATGCTCAGTAATTTGTTAATATAACAATTTTGAAAAAAAAAATGTTTGATTCAGTATAATTGATTAAAAGATAGCTGATGACCCAATGAATTTTTCCTTCTGTTCCTTAGTATATATTTCCTTTTGTCAGTTAAAATATGTAAGCACCACAGAATTCACTGTTTCCCCCCCATCCCTTGTAATATCATTTGTGGAGAAGTGTAGAGTTCTCAGCCAGCAATGATCGAAGGCTAGCCATACAGAGATTTTCAGGATCTATTCAAGTAAAGCAAAAAAAATAAAAATGATACAATTAAGAGAATGTAAACAGTTATTGGAGGGAACTAATTGTAAAGTACTTGCTCCTCCCCCAGTGGGGGAGTATGTTGTGGCCTGCCAGCAGCTGATAGAGCTGGCAGCAGAGTTGGACAGCGAGGAGGTTGGGGAGGAACCTGGGCCAATCCTGGAGGCTGAGGGATCTCTGGACAAGGGATCTGTGTCAGAGGCAGAGATGGGGCCAGGGCAGGCTGGCAGTCATCAGCTGTCTTTGGGCTCGGACAGCAGTGAGGCAGGGGAGCTTCTGGAACCGGTTCCCAGCCTGCACATGCGCAGAACTGCCAAAAGGAAGGAACAATTAAGAACTCAGGATCGACATGGGAGTCAGGCCACAGGTGGATGATGAATGGCCCCTCCCACAATGATTAAAAGAGAAGCAAAAGGGAAGGGGGCTTTTGCAGGAAACAATTTGTATGTTTGTTCGTTTCAACATTGTGAAGATTTGTCTGTGTAACCTAGGACTTTGTGCCCAGCCCTTCCCTGTCAGCACTACGTGTGGAAATATTTACCGGGCAGCTTTCCAAGATAGATAAGGTCTGAGCCAATAATTATACCTTTGCAAGACTGTTTGTCAGGCTGTTGGTTGAATGTGAATGCAATAAATTCACATTCATTTAATAAAAGAGGTTTTGCCGGGACTCAGGGTTGGCTTAGTGCTTTTGGGGGAAGCCTAGGGCAGAACAGAGTATTTTTTTTTTTGTTGGTTTGCAGTTTTCCCATGTTTTTTGGCAGGAGATTTAGGATGTGCTGGTATGGTTTTACATGCCTCTACTTTTTAATAGACAACAATTCTTAAAATTCTTACTAAGCTTTTATTTTAAAAAGACAGTTAATGAGGCCTTACACTTTCTTTAAAATTTAAAATGTAAGTTGTACAAGGCAGCGGTCGCCAACCGGTGGGCTGCAGCCCACTGATGGGCCGTGGAAAATTTTTGGTGGGCCGCAGAAGAAATGGTCCCCAAAAGCAATTAATCTGGGCCACGCAGTTCTTGCATCTCCCGACTTTCCGAGGGACCCTGGAGTCAGGGCCCTGAGTTGCCTTAGCATGCTCGGTTAGTTAAGAATCGCCCTACCCAGAGAAGGAAGTAGTGCTGGAGGAGGAGGAGGCAGTAGTGGAGAAGTAAGCAACTCAGGGCGTTACCACTGTGGCGGCTTTGCCTGCGTTTCTGAGGCTTCGATGTTGGGAGAGGCAGCAAGGGCTGGAAAAGGGGACAGCTGTGCATGGCTCCGTCTCCCTTTCCTGCCTGCACGTGGGTGTGGGGGAGGAAAGAGAGAGAGCCAGGAGCAATTCAAAGCTAGAAAACTAATGGGGAGAGCTGACAGCGGATGCTGGGGGAGGGGACTGTTGTTGCCGCCGCCATGTGTGGGAGCATGCATCTCAGGGACCTGAGCCGGGAGGCACGGGAACTGCAAGTGGGAGCATTTGATGATTTCGAAGAACTCCTGGAACACGGTAGAATGGCATTTTGTAGGTCTCAGTGAAAGAGTGAGCTTTGTTTAGTCTCCTTTCCTCCCCTGGTAATGCGAGATGCTTTCTCTCCCCCCCCCCCCAAATAATCACTGGCTGTGGCTGAGTTTGGCAGCGAAGTGCTAAAGCGAGTGAAGTGCCCCCAGGGACACCTTTCCTTGCCTGTCTCCAGGTGACACTGGAAGAGCCTCCCCCCCAGCTTTTCCTCGGCTGCAGATCTGAGCCTCTCAATCCTCCACCCGGGATCTGAAAGGAGCTTCCACTTTCTCCCCCTCCTCTCCCCCAATTAATCACCAAGAGCGGCAGTCCTTCTGCAGGCAGATGCCTGCTGAGAAGCCCCTGGAGTGGCAGCCAAGGGGCGCTGCCCCCCAAGGAGAGCAAAGCCCCTTTTCTGCCTCTGCTTCTCCCAGCGGCAGTTGCCC